CTGAGTCTTGAGGAAGTGTCTGGAAAGAATCACGGTCTTGTGGAAAGTGGAGGAAGCTATGTCAAGGTTCTTAGCAGGAAAAGGACATGATGGGGGGGTGAAAAGGAGAAGAGAACACCTGTCCAAACCCTCAGGGTCACAGGAGGGTTTGAACAAAGCTGTGTGTAGTCTCATGTTGTCTTGTGTATGTTTCCAGTTCTTTGAGTGTCACAGGCAACAGTTTGGGAGCAGATGTAGAGGGCCCTGGTTGGAAGAATCCCTGAGTCAGAATGGGGAGGCAGGGAGGGGCATCAGAAAAGCCAGGGGTCTGAGGTCTTTTGGGGAGAGGGGGATGCAAGCAGGAATAGCTTGGAGGTGAATCAAGGTAGGGAAGGGGTTCTCTAAGGCCAGCAGAGGTGGGGCTAGGGCTAGGCTTCGGGGAGCAGTGTGCTTAGCTCCAAGGACACCTGTGTGGCTGTAATTATTTTTACAGCCTCTTGCTTTGTGAATGGGGTGTGACTCTTTCTCAGGAGGGCAGAGGTGAGTGGTTTTACACTTGGCAGGTGATATAAGGTGAGAACTTATGGTAATTTCCCCTCCTCCCGACCAGTCCTCTTTACAGTCTAGGTTATTTGGTTACCAATTCAGCCAACAAAGACACAACAAAACACATGAAAATGCCAGGTGCAGTTGCCATGCTCCCAGCATCCACAAGGTGGCTCCAGTTCCAGGGGATCTGACTTCCTGTTTGGGTCTCTGAAGGCACTGGAGAGGCACATGGTGCACATTATGTACATTTGGACAAAAGCACTTGCACATACAATAAAAATAAATCTTTAGAAGAAAAAAGAGAACCTTCCAGTTAAGTTAGGGGGAAGGCACCAGGAAAAAGGGCTCTTTATAGATTTTTTTCAATACTGAAGCAGGATCCAGTTGGAGTGAAAAATTTGTGAGTTCAGAGAGCCTGAAAGGATTCCTGACACCTAAAAAGTCCTTGGAGCCTGGTTTATTGTCAGAAGGTTTTCACAAAGTGGGCAGGTGCTAGGAGGTGGGGACACAGAGACAATGCTGTGGTTTTTATTTTGTTTTAAAAATTGCAATGACCCTCAAAACCAGAATTGTTAGAACATGGGGTTCATGTGGGGAATAAAGAAAGCGTTGGAAAGATCCTGTCAAAACATGGCAAAAGAGAGTCAAGTCAGAGCCAGGCCCTTCTTCCCTGGCTCAGGGAACGAGGTGCGAGGTGGGAAATGGATTGAGATCAGAAGAAATACAAGTGTGGTAAATGTAGACCCCGTCCTTCCACTCCATACCAGTGCCTCCTACTGTGTGCAAAATGGACATCCATCAGCTGACCTTGTGACCCTAGAGCGAGATCAGTGGTGCCTGTAAATGTGTTCTACTTTGCTCCTTTTCTCCACTTGTTGATTTTTTAAAATAATACATTCCTAGTTAAAGATTAATTGAGGCCCATCTGTCTCAGAATGGAGGCTGGATCAGTGACCCCAGAAAACAGAATGGGTGTGCTGTAATTGCTTTAAAAAAAAAAAACATGCTTCATGCCAAAAATCTACAAAGGCGAAGATGCAACTTCAGAGAGGCTGGAGGACTCTCCGTCTCGTGGTTGGGTGGCTGGCCAAGGGCCAGTCCCGGTGCTGAAGAATGGAGCGCACAGACAGGTCAGAGAACTCTTGCTGCAGTCTCAGATGAGGTTCTCAAAGGCCCCCAGCTCAACTGCTAAGGAGAACGAATATTTCTGAGGCCAGGAAGCCCACCTGCTTGATGCGACTCTATCCAGACGTCCAACCCTATCTACGGCGGTTCCTATTCTGAGGGACCGGAAGTGGAAGTAGGGTCCAGCCTGTGTGCACCTGAAACCTGGCGAGACCTGGAGGGATGCCCGGGTCTAATTTACCTGTTGAGGTGGCAAGTTGTGGTTTCGGTCACATTGCCCAAAAGATAAGGAATGTCAGGAATTCTGCCATGCCAGTTGGAAGCGGAGTCCCACACAATGGACCTTTTATGGAGCCCCGGCCTACAGTTGGTACTGTGGTGTTATTTTAACTTGTTTCGTGTTGATCCGGAGTGTGCAGTGCCAGTTGCTAGGGGAACTTTGGACCTGGGGAAAGAGAGGCTGGCTTCTAAACTGTGGCAGGACAACACTAGCACGGGCCACCCTCCTGCCAGGAAGGAAGCTGGCTTGCTGCTGGCCAGAGCCTAGTTTTTTCTCCTAGTTGCTCTCCTGTGTTGTGGAATTCACACTCTGACCTTCACATGTGATGTGGGTCTGGGGAAGAGTGACTTCTTATCATCGATATCAAATCCAGATAAGACCCTTAGGGAATGAAGTGCTTATTTTGTCTCATAGTCCAGGAGACAGATCCACTTGGCCATGATGGAGAAGGCACAGCAGCAGGAGTGTGAGGCAGCTGGTCACTTTCTGTCCGTGGTCAGAAGTGGGGCCGAGCTCTAAAGCCTGCTCTCCCCATCCCCCAAACCGGTAACGTATTTCCTCCAACTAGGCTCCACCTCCTGGAAGTTCTACAACCTTCCAAAACAGTGCTCCAGTTTAGGATCAAGTGCTGGGGTCATTTCTCATTCAGACCACATTCTCCTGTCCACTTGTTACAAGAATGAGATAATGAATGGAAGAGAGTTCATCCATGAAATCGGTTTTACAGAATGGCAAGCCATTCCATCCCTGGGCCTTTGTAGAAGAAGGATCATTATTCCTTGCAAATGAAGTTAGTGATAGTGTAAGGGTAGAAATGGAAGCTGGTGAGGGAGCTAATCATTGGTGCTTGTTTCTGTGGTTAAGAGTACCCACTGAAGCCGGATGGTGGCGGCGCATGCCTTTAATCCCAGTAGGCAGAGGCAGGCAGATCTCTGTGAGTTCAAGACCAGCCTGGTCTACAAGAGCTAGTTCCAGGACAACCTCCAAAGCCACAGAGAAACCCTGTCTCGAAAAACAAAAACAAACAAACAAAAAGAATACCCACTGAAGGAATTAGGGGCTACATCTCTTTTTTTTTTTAAAGTAGGATTTATTTTTCTAAAATTCACAAGGACAAAGTAGGCTTTTAGCTTCCAGGGAGGTACTGTTCAAGCACCTGTCCAGTCAGCAGGCGTCTTTGGTTGCCTTGCCTTCTTGGAACAACATAACATGGATGGAGGATGTCAGAGATCTCCATTCAGGCACTCTGCACATAGCCCTGGGATCTTGGGTGCCATTTTTAGGCTATAAACTGAAAGTTCTAATTCTTCCCTGACTGACTGGCTTCTTAAGAGCTGAAATGTGTGGAAACAGCCCTGCTCAGCAGGAGATAACTAGTTGTTTTTTCACTCTTCGAATGGGTGATACATTGTTGATGGAGACTAGCCCAGCATATATGGAGGCATACAGAGTTCAGTGTTGCCGTGGGAACTTGGGGGAGTGGTGAAACCATTTCTGAAGTTAAATTTTATATGTATTTGCATAGAGAAGTATTAGGTAAAAGAACAACTAACAGCCCAGCATAAAAGATGGGCAGGCATCAGCAAGCACAGGCTGAACCTCTACCTCTGATGGTTTGCCTTCTGAATTCCCCATTTCATGAAGTCGAGGTATCTCACAAATGATCTCCATGGGTTCAGATGTTTGTGAGAGTTTTGCAGAAGATGTTTGATAATGAGCTATGTTAATATGTCATCTATTGGTGGCAATCTCTCGTGCATCCAGCAGGAAAGACACTCTGCTTTGATTAGGATGGAATTTCTTGGAGTGAAACGTTTATTTTTCTTGTCGTGTTGTCTTTGATAACTGATCGTAGCTGAGATAGCTTGGTAAAAGGCTCTTGCCTCTAAGAATAATTTACTTTCTGCTGAAGCTGTATTGCGCTGGAAGGTTTTCTTAAAACTTCACCTGGTCATGACTGCACACTGCTGTAAGTTAAACAAAGTGACAGAAGACAAGTTCATCCTCCTTGACTCTGGTAGCTACCATGAGATTGTTTTTTTGCTATATTTATTTTTTGCCTAAAAGAGTTGGCAATGTTATGTTCACACTTCACACTTCAATGAAAAATACACTTTCCTTGTTTGTTTTTTGTTTTTTGAGACAGGGTTTCTCTGTATTGTTTTGGAGGCTGTCCTGGAACTCTCGATCTGTAGACCAGGCTGGCCTGGAACTCACAGACATCTGCCTGCCTATGCCTCCTGAGTGCTGGGATTAAAGGCGTGCGCCACCAATGCCCAGCTGAAAAATTTAAATCTACTTTTCCCTTCTGAAATCAGTCCTTTTGCTTGGAAGTTGGGGCGTGGTTTCCTTGTCAGGCTCAGCACTGTGACTTCCTGTTGAAATAGAACAAAAAACACAGAACTGACAAGGAGCCCCCTCTGCTTCCATCTGTCTGTCTGAGTCATGCCAGGCCAAGTGGGCACCACTACAGGGTGAGTGGGAGTTCTCAACATTGGCTGTGCAGGCATCATGGACTTCTCCTATGGATGGCCTCATTCCAGGAGCAGATCGCATGGGTATCTTTCCAGGAGGAGGAGAGCCACCCTCGTGGGGGTGCTGGATCATACTGGGTGCATAATGTTCAGGGGACTGGTGGGGTGGGGACCATGGCATGTACAGGAAGAAGAGCAGAGGATGGAGTTGGAAGTAACTTTCCTTGTTGACATGCATCTGAGAGCCACGGGGAGGATATGTGCTGAAGTCACAATGCAGGCCTGGGATGCCTAATCAAGATTGTGTTTTAGATACTATTGGAAAGGGCTAGGGATGTATCTTGGTGATAGAGCACTTCCTTGTGTGCTTGAAGCTCCAGGTCCCTGGTATGGTGAACCAGAGATAGAGGGTAGTGGAAGGTAGGTGTGCACACAATCATGGTGTGTTGTATACAAGTGTCTATGGTTAAAAATAATTTTTAAATGGAAAGGATTTTGCTATTAAAATATAAAGCAAAGCAGAACAGATGACTTAGAAGAATTGGGCCAGGAGGAACCATGTGCTGAAGTCCTTCCCACCCTTTCCCCTGCAGTTTTGCTACTGGAGAAGATAGAACATGATGACATTTGCAACAAGACACTGAAGATCACAGACTTTGGGCTGGCAAGGGAGTGGCACAGGACTACCAGGATGAGCGCAGCAGGGACCTATGCCTGGATGGCTCCTGAGGTCATCAGGTCCTCCCTGTTCTCCAAGGGCAGTGACATTTGGAGGTGAGCATATACACCTTTGCTTTGTCTATCTGCAACTGGTGGCTGTTATTGTATTTGATCGTGGGGGTTGCAGGACTTTGTGATTCTGCCATGAATAGCAAAGTGCTTTTGAGTGTGTTGATCCAGATGTGTGTTGCAGAATATTTGTTTAACTATGTAAAGATGTGTTGCTGTTTTACCTTGCCTGCCTAACACACTTGATTAGTCTAATAAAAAAGCTGAACAGCTAGTAGTGAGTGAAGAGCTTTAGGCAGGACTTCCAGGTAGGGAGTGTAAGTAGGAAGAGGAATTTAGGCTTAGAAAAGAAAGAAAAAGAGACACCAAGGAAATGCTAGGGACCAGCTAGCCAGACATGAAGGAAGCAGGAAAGTAAGACATACAGAATGAGAGAAAGTTAAAAAGCACTGAGGCAAAATGCAGATGAATGGAAACAGGTTGAGTTAAGTTAAAAGAGCTAGTGGGGCAAGTTTAAACTATGATAGAGCATTCATAATAAGTCTCTGTATCTTTATTTGAGAGCTGGTTGGTGGCCCAGAGAAAATCCCAACTACAGATGTGATAACAAGAGACTGTTACTTGGCTTTCTGTCCCATGATCTGATCTCTGGGGTAATTAGGTTAAATGAGGAAAGCTTGTTTTGGTTCACAGTTTCAGGGTCTCTGTTCATGGATTCGTGGACTCATCACTTTGTCTGTGAAGAGGCAGAGCTTGGCTGGAAGCTTTGGAAGACTTTAAGCTGCTTCCTTCATGTCACCCAGGAATCAGAAAGAGGAGAAAGGGCTGAGATCCCAAAGTACCTTTCCAGGGCATGTCCCAGGGTTCACCTCTCTTGTATGAGGTCCCACTTCCGAAAGGTTCTGCTACCTCAGGCTAGGGCCAAAGCTTCAACACGTTAGCTTTAGCGGGACATTTACGATCCACCCTGTAGCCTCCACCTGGTCTATAAAGGCTCATGCTCATCTCATAATGCAAATGGATTTATCCAATCTCAAGGATTGTATAGTTCTAAGAGGACTTTGGTCCTCTGAGACTCAAGGCAAAATCTCTCTCTGTGCATTATTGTGTATGCATGTGTTTTAGTAAATGTGTGTGCTTGTGTGTTAAGTGTATGTATAAGTATATATGTTATTAAGTGTGTACATATGTGGGAAGTGTGTGTGTTATTAAGTGTCTTAGATAGGGTTACTATTGCTGTGAAGAGTCACCATGACAATGGCAACTCTTATAAAGAAAACATTTAATTGAGGTGGCAGCTTACAGTTCAGAGGTTCAGCCCATTAGCATCATTATGGGGAGCATGGTAGCTTGCAGGCAGATGTGGTGCTGGCTACATCTTTACCAAAAGACATCAGGAAGTTGACTGGCAGTCACACTGAGGGAAGCTTGAGCAAAAGAGACATCAAAGCCTACCCCCACAGTGATACACTTCCTCCAATAAGACCATATTTCCTAATAGTGCCAATACCTTTGGGGGCCATTTTCTTTGAAACCACCACATTAAGTATGTTTGTACATGTGTATATGTGTATGATTGTTTATGCATGTGTGAATGCATGTATGTTATAAAATTTGTGTTACAGTGTGTGTTCATGCATATGTGTGTTATTAAGTATGTGCATGCATGTGTGTATATATTATTAAGTGTGTGTGCCCATGCATGCCCATGTAGAGATGAGAGGTTGGAACTGAGTGTCTTCCACTATCTTATCTTTTGAAATAAGACTCATACCTGGAACTCACTGATTGGCTAGACTGGCTGGTGAGCAGAACTCTGGAATCCACCTGTCTGCTGGGATTACAGATATGTGAGACCATGCCTGACTCTCTTTTTTTGGGTGCTGGGGATCTGAACACAGGTGCTCATGCTTGAGAAACAGACACTTTACCAATGGAGCTGTCACTCCAGCCCCCAAAACAAAAACCAAAACAAACCTCTTAGCTGTGATCTCCTTGAAAAAGAAAGTTATACACTTCTGAGACACAGTGACATACCAAGCATTCTCCTCTGGAAAGAAAGGAGAAGAAAATAGCAGGGAGGGATCAGACCAAAGCAAAACTGAGCCCAGCAGCCACCCACGTATGTCCATGTCTGAAGTCTGGAGCACACGTCAGCAGAACGTGGTTTGGGCAGCCCTGATTGTTGGGTCTGTGAACTGCTGCTCATGCGGTCATCTCCTGAGCAGGCTCTGCTTTCTGCCTGTAGCTCCCTTGATGTCTCTCTCATACGGCAGAAGGTCTCCATCACAGTTTCTTCATTTTCTAGCTCCACACTTTGTCCTCTCGGGGACTGCAAGACTTCCTTACAGTCGTTCCAGTGCAAAGTCCTTGTCTTCTTAATGCCCATAATCTCTTTAATGACTAAGTCGATCTGCCACGTGGCTGTTTTGGCTACACTGCAAGTGTTTAAAATATTTCCATTGTTTTTCACTCCTGATCTGAATTGCTAAAAGCATCTGGTGATAACCATGCCACAACCCCAATGTTAGGCTGTGTTGAAATTTTCTCTGTCAGATTACTCCGTCTCCTACCTTCAAATTTCAGCCTCATCCAATGTCTTAAAATGTGGGCAAAATGTAGACATTACTGGAATGTAACTCAAGTGGTTGTAGGATGATTTCTGCTGGAGTCCTTGTGAGCACAGCCGTTACTGGCACATTTCTTTCAGCATCTTCATCTTGAATCCCAATAGAAAAAGTGACTTCTAGAACTCTAGGCTTTCTATACCTCCTTTTACAAACTTTACCAAAAATTGTAAGGCTTTTGAACCACATTGTCAGGCTTTAACATAGCAATGACTCATTTTTTCTATATTAGTCAGTTTTTCTGTGGCTGTGACAAAATTCTTAAGATAATCAACCCTTAAGAAGGGATTTTTTTGTATTTTTAATATCAGAAAGCTTTGAGAGCGTTCTTCCCATGAGCCTTTGGCTATGTTGTTTCTTGGGCCTGTAGTGAAGCAGAGCATCATGGGTAACAAAGCTGCTCATGCTCTGGCAACCAGGAAGGAGGGCGTGGGATGACACTTCCATGTATCAAGCTGTGCTTGGAGGTGCACACCATGATGTGAATTGAGATTGTTTCCCAGTGTCTTCCCCAACATAGTAGATAGGACATTCTGAAACTATGAGTGAAGGGAAATCTTTGCTCTGGTAGGGGGTTTCTTCCAGGTTTTGTCATAGTGGCAAGGAAGCTAACATATAGGCTAAGTAAGAGAATCTTTCTTTGAACCATTATGTCAAACTCCCTAAGTCCCAATCAACACTTCAATCGTTGTGTACACTGGAAATCACTCCCTCACTTCCACACATGAAGTCCTTGGGGGATATTTTTGTCAAATCAACCAGAGAGCGGCTATTCACCCCCATACCAGTCATGCCACGGCTGTATGAGTAGGCACATTTGCTTGGCAGGTTGGCCTTGCAGGTAAATTGATGGAGTTGGACAAAATTATATTGAGTGAGATAGCCCAGGCAAGAAAAATAAATGCTGTATGTTCTTCCTGCCAGTCGAATGTAGCTTCTAATCTAATTGTAGTGCTGTGGAAGTCAGGACATTAGCAGGGAGCTGTTGGGAGAGGGTGACTTCAGGGCAGGGGGTAGCAGAACTCAGGTAACAGTTGAGTAGAGGTGGGACTGGGGGTGGGAATGTTTAAGCAGGTAGGGGAAAGGAGGATAGGGAAAAGGATTAGCCGAAAGCAAATGGCATGAAAAAGCCCTGTAGAAACCCACTGTCTAGTAATCAAAGTAATATATAATTTATGAAAAAGTCTTTGGAAGGAGACACTCTACTCGTAATTGTTATGAGTTGAGGTGAAGATTCTGTAGTGTCCTGGGGACAGTGGGGAATCTTAAGAGCTTCCCTATCATGACGTAGTGAGTCAGACCCTCTGAGGGCAGAGCTGAGCATGTGTGTTTTATAAAGCAATGCGGATCTTGTCCTGGAGTTAATTATAGTCACTTTCTGCCCACATGAAAACAAGTTGTGGAAGTGTCCTTTAAGAAATTAACTGTCAGGGTTCTAGAAACTACTAACTCCCCCATAAATCAATTTTACATTCAAAATGATGTCTTAAGACTAGACCCCTTCCTATGTGTCTGCCCTCTGTTACAAGTCCTATAGTTACAAGCTGGAGCCCCGCAGTGCTCATGTGGTCTGACGCGAGATTCCGGAAGTGATTAGAGTACACCCTTCAGAGCCTCCAAACACAGCCAGGGCAGATACGCCTCTGAAATCCACCTGCACTTTCGTTTCGCACATGCAAAGATGATCCAAATTTTCATTAAAAGTTGCCAGTTAGGAGAGAAGGAGAGATGGCTGGCCGGTGACAGGAACAGATGCCTGTGACCAGCATGATGGCTCAGTGGCTCAAGGCCCTTGCTGCCAAGCCTGATGCCCTGAGTTCAGTCCCTGGGACTCAGGTGGTAGAAGGTGAGGGCTGACTCCTGCGAGTTGTCCTCTGACTTCCACTTGCAAGCTGCAGTGCTCACATGGACACATGCTAAATTACAAACGAATAAAACATGGAAACCAGCAAGAATGCCACCTGTGCAGGCACAATAGTGTGTACCTACAGTCAGCCACTCAGCAGGCTGTAGAGGAAGAGCCCTTCAGTGCAGGGTTTGAGGGTGGCCGGGGCAACACAAAAACTCACTCCACAATGCATTTCTTTTATGATTCTGTCCATCAGTGTAAAGCCTAATGAATCATCTACAGCAGTGGTTATTAACCTGTGGTTCCCTGACCCCTTTACCTCCGCATATCAGATATCCTGCATATGACATGTTTACATATGATTTATAATAGTAGCAAAATTACTGTTATGAAGTAACAATGAAATAATTTCAAGGTTGGGGGACACCACGACATGAGGAACTGTATTAAAGGGTCTCAGCATTAGGAAGGTTGATAGCCACTGATCTGGAGTGATAGAACTTTGGGGGATTAAAAAATTATGTGTATGGGTGTTTTGCCTGAGGGTATATCTGGGTACCACATGCAGTGCAGTGCCTGTGGAGGTCAGAAAGGAGCATCAGACCCCTAGGACCAGAGTTTGAGACAGCTGTGAGCTGTTGTGTTGGTGCTGGGAATTGAACTCAGGTCCTCTGGAAGAGCAGCCAGTGCTCTTTTAACTACGGAACCATCTCTCCAGACCCCTTCTGCGGAGTATTTTGAGACAGGTTGCACTGTGTAGCCTGGAACTGATCCTCTGGCCTCAGTCCCCTGAGTGCTGGGATTGCAGGTGTGCACATCATGCTCCAGCTGTTCTGGGGCAGAGCCATCTCCCACCCTGGGGAGAGCAGTGGCCTTGGTCAGCTGGAAATGCTGGTCCCAGTGGGAGTTGAGCTGGGGCTGGGGTAGGCTCTGGAGCCCAAGTCACTAATGGGAACTTTGCTTTCCAGCTATGGGGTGCTGCTCTGGGAACTGCTCACAGGCGAGGTCCCTTACCGTGGCATCGATGGACTGGCTGTGGCATACGGGGTGGCCGTCAACAAGCTCACACTGCCTATTCCATCCACCTGCCCTGAGCCATTTGCAAAGCTTATGAAAGGTATTGTTCAGCCCCGATCTCAAGGGTCTAGGGTCAAAGAAAGTTGTGTATAGGAACAGTAAGATTTTCTATGTCTGTGCTAGTTAGATGGCTCAGCACATAGAGACATTTGCCGCCAAGGCTGACAGTCTGGGTTCAATTCCCACATGATAGATGAGATCAGACTCCCATGGGTGTTCATCTGATTTCTAACTACATGTAATGACACACCTGAGCCCACACACATAAATAAATAGATAAATGTGTAAAATTTTAAAAGCAAAGGAAGTATTAATCTGGATGTGGTAGTTCATGTCGGCGATCCCCAGTATTTAAGAATCTGAGGCAGGAGAATTGCTTTGAGTTTCCAGGGCAGCCTGGTCTAATATAAGACCTGTCTCAAACAAACGAATAAACAAAAATCCAATTGCTTTTAAGTGTGCTTCTGAGAAACTTCACCTTGCTAGAGAGGTGAGTCCCAGGCATTTTCAGCTGTGCAGCCTAAAGCCACCCAGCCTCATCAGTGGTGCCTTGCCTTCCCTGTCACTGTCCCGCTGTCCGCCAGCAGACAGTGCAGCCCTGAGCTGGCTCCAAGCCCCCACTCGAAGTCCCAGACAGTGATCAAAAGCACCTCCCAGGGCTCCGCAACGTGGCTGTGCTTTGGACCTTCTGATCCCACTCTTGTCCTTAAGCTTTTGTCCTTTCTCTGTGAGCTGTCAGTTTACTTCCTCAGTTTTGATTATTTTTGGTTTGATAGGGTGTTGCTATGTGTACCAAGTTGGCCTTGAACTCACTCTGTATTCCATGCTGGATGAAAAATTATTACTTATCTCAGGATGTACTCAAACTCACTTTGTAGCCCAGGCTGGCTGCAAATTCACCATGTAACGCAGGCTGGACCTGGATTCCGCCTCAACCTCTCTAGTGCTGGAACTGCTGGCATGTGCCACAGTGACCAGTATTAAGTTATTCCTTAGTCCTTCTGCTGTCATTATATCAAATTCCAGACATTGGCTTGGGGGCTGGTGTTTTATGGCTATGCACTTTTGCTGCAGCAGCATGGAAAACAGGCATCTGTGAACCCAGTGTCAACTCACACAGGCAAAGGCAGGCTCCTTTCACCGTGTCTCTGCTCCCGTCTGTCATGGTGCTGGGGGCTGGGGACACAGAGCTCTCAGGCACTCACTGTTATGTCCTTAAGATTTCCAGGAGCCGGCACTGCAGACAGGGACTTCTGGTTTAGAGGGACAAGTGTCCAGTTGGGAACCCTACTGTCTTGGAGATCATCCTAGCTGTACTGAGAGGGGAAAGTAATGTGATTCTCATTTGTCGCAGAATGCTGGGAACAAGACCCTCATATCCGCCCTTCGTTTGCCTTAATTCTTCAGCAGCTGACTGCAATTGAAGGGGCGGTGGCGACTGAGATGCCCCAGGAGTCCTTCCATTCCATGCAGGAAGACTGGAAACTGGAGATTCAGCAAATGTTCAATGAGCTTCGAACCAAGGAGAAGGTGAGAGAGCAGAGTACGCCTATAAGCCGCGGGGACGCCACCTGGGGACAACTGTCAGCATTCTGCCATTTCTTAGACACCAGTGTTTATTGATGCTTGCTATTCTTCAGGCTAAAATAAAGAGTATTGAAAACATACAATTGGAAAGGAAAAGGCCTTTATTAGGAAATTTCCAAGTGGAAAAGAGATAAGAAATAGCACCATGAACCTATATGTTGATGAGCCTTGCCAAATGGGAGCTGGTGTGAGGTGGACTGGTGGGGGACAAACCTGGTCTCTTTGGGGTGGTGACAAAAACTGTCAAATGTCATACAGAAGGCAGATTGCAGGCATGGCTGTGGGTGATGGTACTTACTCTTTTAAAAACATCTTTGTAGCATTTGAGCAGTTTTGTGACCCCAGGTTTGTGTTGTTTGACGAATGCAAGCCTTTAATAGTTTAAATTCTTCTGTTATACATGCAGTGATGCTCATCTGTGCGTGTGCATCAATAACACAGCAAGCACAACATTTCAAGTTACTGGTCACCTTGAGGTTATAACCAGGGAGGAACTTTCCCTCCATAGGCCTCTGGGACAGATGCGAAGCAAGCACCCTGTCTACCGTCTGAAGGCTTCAGAAGTAGGATTTATGGGAGCATCCCAAGGATAGTCCCCAGACTGAGTTCAGGGACATTTTGCTTCTCGGAGGGCTTGGCTGGTTCAGCCTTTCTTCTTTGTGTTTGGGCAGAATGACCAGGATTGCCTGTCAGTACTAAGCTGAGTGCTTGGAGCTCTGGGTCAGACAGGTTGGCTGCCTCTGGGCTCAGCTGGGTGCTGCTACATGGCCTTGGTCTCCATGGAGTGTCACAGAAGGGGGTGTGAGTTGTGAGGATGGTGCCCAGCTCCTGCCTCCTGCTTAGCAAGTACCATGTAAGCAAGCAGGAGAAAGACATCACATTGGTGCTTTGTGACCCAGAGTCCTGTAGCCTCCCACTGTACCTGGCCAGGCTAGGGGAACCAGCTGGAGCCATGGAGGCCACTTCCAGAGGGTGCCTTTTGGCAAGGTCTTCTGTAGAGTTCTGGAAACATTTACACATTTCATTGGTTTAAGATGATTGGAAACTTTTGGTTATTTTTTTGGTATACTTGTCCAATTCATTTTTAAGAGTTCTGAAACGAGGTATTTAAACCCACAACTAAACTTGATTTTAAAGAATAACAGGTGATTTTGAGGGAAAACAGCCTCAGATCACACAATTAATGTTTGAGAATGACATTATTCACCATAACAATTCTTACAGGCCTTTGGTCTCATTAATAACCAGTTTTGAACCCGCAGGATGCAAGTACAGGAACTGAAAGATTCTTCTGGTATGGAGGAAAATAATAAAGTCATGCTTCCAGAGCAGACACAGCCTTTTCTATCTTCAGGATGACACTAGCACTTAGAGTTTCGTCTGTCTGTCTGTCTTTGCAGAAGTGTCTTGTTTAGTATCCTAGGCTACTCTGATTCTCACTGTGTAGTCTAGGCTGTGAACTCACACTCACTGTGCACTTTAGGCTGGTTGTGAACTCACACTTACTGTGTAGTCTAGGCTGGTTGTGAACTCACACTCACTGTGTAGTTTAGGCTGTGAACTCACACTTACTGTGTAGTTTAGGCTGGTTGTGGACTCACACTCACTGTGCAGTTTAGGTTGGTTGTGAACTCACACTCACTGTGCAGTTTAGGCTGGTTGTGGAACTGATACTATGTAGTTCAGGCTGATTGTGAGCTCACAGTCACTGTGTAGTTTAGGCTGGTTGTGAACTCACACTCACTGTGTAGTTTAGGCTGGTTGTGAAATCTCTATCTCTGCAGTTTAGGCTGTGAACTCACACTGTGTAGTTTAGGCTGGTTGTGAACTCACACTCAGTGTGTAGTCTAGGCTGGTTGTGAACTCACCGTAATCATCTTGCTATACTTCCCAAGTGCTGGGATTATAGGCACACCACCCATGTGCAGCCATTTTCTTATTATTCTTCTGGATTTTTTCCATTGGTGTCTGGTTTGTCTTTTTATTTGATTCTTACTCATTGTTCCTCCAAGCAGCCCTATGGCCTTGTGATCTGTGATTAGAAAATATGCAATAGTGTGTCTCTTTGTGCTCTGAGGTTTCCAGCCTCATCTTCCTGAGGGGTGGAAAGCCTTTGTACGTGCCCTATCTCCCTTTGCCGCTCACTGACTGAGGGAGGAGGCCTTGTGCTCAGCCCTTGGCTCTTGTCCACAGTTCTCTGTAGATGGTGAATCCTCCTCATGCTAGGCTTCTTATCACTGTCTGTCTGTGGGTCCCCTGTGTGCACCTGGCACCACAGGCCCTCGAAGAAGGCTCGTCCATTAACCATTAACCTTTTTTTGCAGGGAAATGGTTTTGCCATTACCAGAAAGTCCCTGCTGAGCCTTCAGGCAAATGCTCCTGATAGTAACCACACAGACAGAAGAAAGGCTTTTGTACCTCATGATTTCAGAGTGTTCACATGGTTTCTAGTACTCCAGAGGCCTTCGTTCCACTTCTCAAACTTCATTATGTTACTATCATCATCATCATCATCATCATAATTAGTGTGTGTGTGTGTGTGTGTGTGTGTAGGTCAGAGGTCAACCTCAGTTATTGCCTCAATCCTTCTCCACCTTGCCTTCCTGAGGCAAGGTGTCCCACTGGAACCTGCAACTCCTCTGTTCAGTCAGATTGACCTGCTAGCAGCTCCAGCATCCTCCTGTTTGTACATAAGTCTGTGCTCCCAGGCCCCGCATCTATATGTGGTTTCTGGGGATTGAACTCAGGTCCTTGTGCTTGCGTGGCAAGCATTTTACCAACTAGCCATGGCCCCAGCCCAGCCTCTCCAGTTTAAAAAATCTACTTAATAGGATGCACAGTTTGACTGCTTTCCTACCAATTATGTCCTCCCCTCCCCCAACCCCATACAAAGTCTGTTTGCTGTTGTTGTTGAAGAAGTTGTTGTGGGGATGAACACCTTTGATGGGGACTTGGAAATGAAAGTGTTCACTCAGTTTGTATGCCAAGATGCCTGAGAGATTGCTGACTCCAGTCAACAGTAGCCAGTGGGGCCATGCCAGTACCATTGAGAACCAGGAACTCCCAGAGAAGAGCGCATGATTGTGATGAGTTCAAAACCACCCTCTGTCCTCAGGTGCTCTGCAGGCAATCTCAGGTGTGGACTCACCTTAGAACTGTTTCACAGCTGAGCAGGTCACCCTCATCGGTGACACCTGCACTCAGGAAGTAGAGGCAGAAGGATCAGAAGTTTGAGACCAGACAGGGTTACACAAGACCCTATCTTTAAAAGAAAATTACAGAGTTTTCCAAATTCCACAGCATTTCTTTTTCTCTTCCAGTGACAAATGGCAGTCTATACCTGGCAGGTGCCAGTGAGGAGATACTGGCCCATCAGTACATTAGAGCCAGCTGGCACATGGTAGGACGAGCAGCTGAGAGGCTGTGAGTCGGGGCGAGCCACCTCTGTAGCTGAGTATCTGTGAATTAATTAGAGAAACAAATCAAGATCAGAGTACTCAGAACTGAATTCCAGGCCCCTTGGTGGGGATGCCACAGCCTGAGGACTCTTGCCTAGAAGGACACATCTCTCTGTCCCAGGGACTCTCGGTCTCACCTTCGTTTTGCCCTGTTGGTAGGAAAGTGCTTTACTGTGTTCATCTTTTCTTTATGATATTTGCAGATTGGCTTCCAGGACCCCTGTGTCCATCTTGAGAAAGTCCAAAGTTTATAGGTGTGAGCTGTGCAGACTCTGACTGTCTGTGGTGCCTCACAGTGTGTCTTAGTTGGATGAACCCCTTTGAGGGGTTGCTGTTTAAACTCTTGTCTGTCACATAAAGCCAGGAGGAGTGTCTGCCACTACCTCAAGGCTCTGGGAATGTCGCAGCCCTACCCAAGTATCCTCTGCAGTTCTTACTGGAGCTTGGAACAAGGTTCTGCCAAGATGGGGTGTCCAAGCAGCAAGTGTCGGACCTCGTGTGTTGATGTCTGCTGGGTGTTATAGCAACAAGAGCTGCGTAGACACAACCACCCAAGAAGAGAGATGAGAATACATTAGAGAAATGGGGAGACGGTTTAAAACTTTGCAGGATTCTTGGTTCTCCCTTAGAGGATTACGAGCTATAGTCATATATAGTATGTGACTATGAGGATTAGCCTTTAACTCAGGGTTTCTCAATCTATGGGTCTCAACACCTCAGTGGTCAAAAGACCCTTTTACAGGGGTCTACTAAGGCCATCAGGAAACATAAATATTTACATTACAATTCATCAGTCTCAAAATTATGATTATGAAGGAGCAATGAAATAATTTTGTGTCTGGGGTCAGCATAACGTGAGGAAGTGTATTAATAAAGGGTGTCCGCATTGGGAAAGCTGAGGTCCACTGCTAAGTCATTGAGTTGTTACTGTGGGTTGTATTTTGAAATGAGTCATTCATGGGCCCAGGGATGTAGCTCAGTTGGTAGAAGGCTTGCCTGACATTCATGAAACCTGGGGTTCCATGGCTGGCATCACCTCATAAACCTGAGCCTGTTAGCATGTGCCTATACTCACCGCACTCAAGAGGAGGATTAGAAGTACTAGGTCATTCATCTGTGTCAACTTGGTGAGCTCGAGGCCAGCCTGCCCTACATAGACTGGGTCTCAAAACATAAATAAGTAAATTAGGTCATTCACAGCTGTTCTTTGCCGAGGAGTGTTACTGTATGATTTATTTGTTTGTCCAGTGATTCTCAGCCTTCCTAATGCTGTGACCCTTTAACACTGTTCCTCATGTTGTGATGACCCCCAACCATAAAGTTATTTTGTTATTACTTCATAGCTGTAATTTTCTACTGTTTTGAATCATAATGTAAATGTCTGATACACAGGATAGCTGATGTGCAAACTCTGTGGGGGGTCGCGACCCATAGGTTGAGAACAGCTGTGTTAGGCGCTTACAAAGACTAGAGGTGAAGAAGATACAGCGATGATAACCTCAGGTGTGGACATCAGCAATGCCTTTCCCTGTCAGGAACCAGCAGAGACAGCACCAGCTTTGGGGATTGGCTTCCCCTAGGTTAATAATAGCCTTGGGTAACCGGCAGCTCAGGTCATCTTGGCTGCAGTGAGCTTGCAGTGAAGGGCTCCCGGAGCAGAACAGGAAGCCCCGTGTTCATCTCCTTTGGGACCTGACTTTGCAGGAGCTGCGGTCCCGGGAGGAGGAGCTGAGTCGAGCCGCCCTGCAGCAGAAATCCCAGGAATTGCTGCTCAGACGCCGGGAGCAGCAGCTGGCAGAGCGCGAGATAGATGTGCTGGAGCGGGAGCTGAATGTCCTCATCTTCCAGCTGAGCCAGGAGGCACCACACGTGAAGAAGAGAAAGGGGAGGTTCAGGAGAGGCCGGCTGAGGCTCAAAGATGGCCACCGCATCAGCCTGCCTTCAGGTTTGTGCCGTCAGACGTGGGGAAGGTTTAGGAGGTTAAAATTTGAAAATGTGAATGAATGATTTTATGAATAAATGAGTGAATGTGCGGATGATCTCCAACCGTGGTCCTGACACACTGATGGAGGGAGTTTCATGGCTGAAATCTGAAACTGAAGTTGGGCCCTATCTGAATTTTTGTCTCTCATCATAGAGTGTTAGTGATGGGCATATGGGGTGGTTAGTATCAGTTGCCAATGTGACAGCGTCTAGACCCACCTAAGAGACAAGTCACTGGGCAAGGGCAAGTCTGTGAAGAAATTTTTATATTAACTGGGAAGACACCTAAATGTGGGTGACTCTATCGCCTGGGCTGGGGCCCCAGACTGAATAAAGAGAAGGCAGCTGAAAATCAGAATTCATAGGCCCTCTTTTGTCATTTTTTTTGTCACAAATGCTGTGTCCTGGGTATACTGCCGTAGTCCATACTCACGATTTCCTAAACCTGGGGCAGGGAAACAGCTAACAGAACTTGGATGGCAATGGTCCAACATTAGAAGAAAGTATGAAGTCTTTGCAGCTGACCCCCACTCTTCAGTGACGGAGAGGTGAAACAACATCCCTCATTCCTATGGGCAGCCGTTGTTCAGCTGTTAACGTGAATTTATTCAAGGCAGAAAATTGACTATTTTTTTGCCAGATTCTCAGAAATTCTTGCATTGTAGTATTTTTAATTTTCCTTCCTGAAAATAAAGAAAACTTTTAAGCTACATATTTACTTGCTTTCCGGCACCTTATATAGGATTTCAGTCAAAAACCTAAACATCTATGGGTGTAAAGACTTCAAATCACTGAGGAAGGATTTAGCATGCAAGAGCTCCTTCTGAACACAAGGAGGCGCCAAATGTTGTAATTCTGGTACAGGATTGGCATCGGCTGGTGTTTGGAGGCTTTGCCGTTACTGTGTGTTTGTGTGTGTGTACACAGACCCCCATGCATATACACATACTTACTTGTGCAATACCCAGAACAGGGCATCTTCAGTGATGAAACAATAGCAATAACTTCTGTCTTGTTTCCCCAAGAGAGGCTTTTGCTCCTGGCATTTTCAACTGGCAGAAAGTTCTTTGCAGTATTGGCTCCCGTACTGTTGTAATGGCCTGAGATTTAGGAAGACTCATTGAGGGGTGTGGCTTGCCCTTCTGGGGGTTAACATATCAAAGTTCTTCCATGTTTGCACTGTCAAACCCCACACTGCACTTGGTGAAAATGCTTAGTATGGCTAGTATTTTCTCCAGAATTTGTGTTAGAAAGCTTGGTAGGAGCAGAGGCTTTGACTCAGTGATGGGTTGAAACCCCTCTGCCTTGTTCTCATTTTGAAGTTGTATTTTGAACATATGTAAAGTCAGAGAGGTTCCAGGCTTCAGGGGTTGGTATATCTCTGAAGCAGGGAATTTAAGTCAGAGAAACCAATGAAGACCAGCCGTTCTGTTCACGCGCGTGTGTGTAAGAGTGGGAGGGTGGACACACAGGAGGGCAGAGGTGAGCTTTTAAACTTTCAAAGCCCTCCTCTAGTGAAGTGACAAGGCCATACTTCCCAAACCTATCCAAATGGTCCTATCAACTGAGGGACCAGGTATTCAAATACTAGGGCTTTGGGGACATTTCTCATCCAAATCACAACACACAACATATCCTGTCATGGTGTAATCGTGTGTCTTATGGAAGAGACACTCACACCCTGGGCTCTAGATTGAGTCAACTTGGCTTGGGTACTTATTCTACCACTTTCTTGCTGTTCCCTGGGCCTAAAGCATCAACAGAAACAAATCCACAGCGCATGAAGTTTCTGTAGTAAAATGTCCTGACAGAGGTAGCATTGGTACTCACATTAGCAGATGGCCACCCATCATTGCAGGGAACTCAAGGCCAGAACTGGAACCAGCTGGCCATCTCCACAGTCAAGAACAGAGAGAAATGAGCACACGCCTCCTGTGCCTAACAGAATGAAGTGTCATTACCTGTTGGCTTGAGTCTTTGAGAAGAGGCACAGGGCCACGCTGAGAAACGGGCTTGGAAATTATCCAATATGCCTGAAAGAGTTGCTATCTGATGGCGGTGGTGTTTGTGAGTGTGCAAAAGACAGTGAGGAAAATAATTCAGACCTCTGAAAAGTCGGTTCTTTCTTTCTCAGATTTCCAGCACAAGATCACAGTGCAGGCCTCCCCAACCCTGGACAAGCGCCGGAGCTCGGACAGCCGGCTCTGCAGCCCTCCCAGCAGCCCCTTGATGCTCCCCCGCCTCCGAGCTATTCAGTGTGAGTGTTTGCCTGCAGTGCAGCGGCTTTCCTCTTCAGGGTTATCCCTGCTGTGTGGGTGACTGAGTGGGCATGCTCTTACAGGGGGCGTAAGTGAGTGGGAGTCGGCGAACCGAGCACTGAAAACCTTGGGGCCTAGTGTGGGGGTACACTCCTGGAATCCCAGCACTTGGGAGATGGAAGGAGGAAAAGCAAGGAAGCCTAGGGTATCTAATGAGTTCAAGGCCAGCCTGGGCTGCAGGAGACTTTGTCTGAAGGGAAGGAAAAATGGAACAAAAAGAAGGTTGTCTTAGCTCTTAGGCCAGTTTCTCTTGCTCTCGACTGTGAATGTGACATTGTGTCAATGCAGTGGGGACCTACAGCCAGGAGTCCAGGTCATCTCAAAGACACTGCCCCATCAGACAGCATCCTTGTCCTCTGCTTAATGACTGGGGATGTTGCTTAGTGGCAGAACACTTGCTTAGAGACACAGGACCCAGGAAAGCAACAAATTAAGGAACCTGAGCATGCCTCAAGCACTTCAGACAATGTAAAAAGATCATTTTCCTGTTTATAAAAGTCGTGTTTCTAGAAAGCAAATATCTGTCTTCATGGACTTCCCTGCATGTACACATGTGGCTAAAAACTTTTGTTTTACATTTATGGTTGACCAGGCTGGCCTTGAACTCACAGAGATCCATCTGCCTCTGCTTCCTTCTTACTGGGATTAGAGACATGCACTACCATGCCCAGTGCTAGTCACACAGTTTTAAATAGGAATGTATGATTTGTAATAAAAAAGCCTCTCTGTATGTTACAATGTGTGCCCACATGTGTATCCAAGTGCCTGCACATGTGTGCCACGGAGTGTATGTAGAGACGGGAGGACAGTCATGGATGTATATGTAGAGATGGGAGGACAGCCACAGATGTGTATGTAGAGACGGGAGGACAGTCATGGATGTGTATGTAGAGACGGAAGGACAGTCATGGATGTGTATGTAGAGACGGGAGGACAGCCATGGAGTGTGTGTAGAGACGGGAAGATAGCCACGGATGTGTATGTAGAGACGGGAGGACAGCCATGGATGTGTATGTAGAGATGGGAGGACAGTCATGGATGTGTATGTAGAGACGGAAGGACAGTCATGGATGTGTATGTAGAGACGGGAGGACAGCCATGGAGTGTGTGTAGAGACGGGAAGATAGCCACGGATGTGTATGTAGAGACGGGAGGACAGCCATGGATGTGTATGTAGAGATGGGAGGACAGTCATGGATGTGTATGTAGAGACGGGAGGACAGTCATGGATGTGTATGTAGAGACGGGAGGACAGTCATGGATGAGGGTGCTCACCTGTGCCGCCTTTGAGACAGGCTCCCGCTGGTGACCTTCTGGGGATTCCCCATCTCTAAACTTTCAGGTCATCCCCCTTTTATAGTCTTCTTGCCACTTTTTATTTTTTATGAATACAAAAAGCGGTTTTTTCAAGCTGGAGGAATGAGTTGTTCTCACCATTCTGCTAGGCACCTGACTGGATTCTTGAACTTTTTAGTAAAATCAATATGTAACAGTGGTTCTCCATTAGTGACTTCAGAGGAGAGCAATAAAACCTGGGGACGGAATGTGGTCTTCCGACAAGAAGACTTTGAAGATGTGAAAAGGAATTTCAAGAAAAAAGGCTGTACGTGGGGACCAAGCTCCATTCAAGCGAAAGAAAGACCGGAGGGCCGAGAGCGGTATGTGTATGCAGAGGGTGCATGGCTCGCACTGGGGTTGTGCTGGCGGTGCTACTAGGCCTGCCTCTTGGGAAGCCATTAGATTGATGCAGAGACATCTGGATAGTAACTTAGTGCTTTGCAGTGTGTGAACTGACTTATGCAATGGTTATTAGTTTAGTAAATAATCTGACATCTTTATATATCATTTCATAATTTGTGAGTGGGGGGGGGGGGAGACAGGGGCGGGACTGGAGAGATTGCTCAAACCTGAAGAAGACCCGAGTTTGATTCCCAGCACCAACTTGATGGGTCATAACCACCCTTAACTCCAGTCCCAGGGGATCCAGCACCTTCTTCTGTTCACTGTGGGAACCAAAGGTGCATGTGATTTGCATGCGTACGTTTGGGCAAAGTACTCAAACATATAAGCAAATAAATGAATCTAAAATATATTTTAAAGATTATATTTGTACTTTGTTAGTTCTTCAGAATTCAAAAGCACAAAGGTACTCTTTTTGCATCTCTAAAAACATTTGTTCTGGGCTATCTGGCAAGCTAAAGAACCCGCGTTCATCTCCCCACTCATGTAAAAGATGGCAGGTGTGGCAGCTGCCTATAATCTTAGACCCACAAGAGGAAGAGACTACAGATCTCTAGGGCAAACAGGCTTCCTCTGCAAGCTAGCCAGAATGGGTGAGAGACCCTGCCTCTAGATAATAAATCCAGAGAGCAACTGAGGAAGACATAGAACATCAACTTCTGCCCTGCATATGCAGGTGCACACAGTTGCAGCAGTACAAACATAAACACCCATATGTGCACCACACACAAGCAACCTTGTGCATGCATATACAAATATACATGTGTGTGCACACACACACATCACACATACGTGCCAAAACAGATATTGCTACAAGATATTGTATTTGAGTGTCCTGCAGTTCCATTATGTGAACACAGATGTCTTTTTCTCATAGGGTCAGGCCTCTCTCAGATGGCAACAGCCCTTGGTCGTCTCTTTTAATAAAAAGTCAGAAAACCATGCCGTTGGCTTCGTTGTTTGTGGACCAGCCAGGTAACCATGTCTCAGGAATCTGGGGTGTTCTTAGCTCTGGGGGGCCCTTGAATCATCTCACGTGGCCCTTAGGGTCATTGAAGGGTGACAGCATGTCCTTTGGAGCTTCACTTAAGTACAGAGGTTATTTTGGATCTAGATTTCATGGCACTAAGGAAATGGAATCCACATGTTGGGGGAGATGGAGTTCATAGCTCTGCATCTTACCAGAAAAGCCAATATCCCACTTAACCATATAGACCAGCTGAGTTTAGTATGGGAGTTGGCTTGATTAATGATGAGCTGGGGCTATATTCAGTATAGACTGAGTTCAAGAGGTAAAACCATTGAAAACCTTCAAGGCTGGTTGGTAGTAAAAAGAGCTGGTCTTTTATACCCACATGTTTATGACAACTTTTTCATACTGTGAGGAAATCAAAATGTTTCAGCAAAACTGGAAGTGTGTGCCTTGAGTGTATGCTGGGTGCTGTGTTCACCAGCGCTTTTTAACAAGCAAGGGATTTAGTTAGCGGAGGAAAAGGGGCTGCGTGAGCAGAGGTGCTTATGGGAAATGCGGGCTTGTACAGGGAGAAGTCAGCGTCCTGCTGACTGTCCTGAAGAGAATGGCCGTCTTCATGAGAGTGGGCTTACGTTTTAGAGAGCACCTCTCTGGCAAACAAGGCAGTTCTGTTGTGTCTTACCTTGGAGCCTGACACGTGTTGCTTCCTGCACACATGAGTGCTTCACCCTTCTCCTTAGCCAGCATGCTTGGTGACTTCATGGCTCTCCAACCTCTTTGGAGTTTCACTTCCTTGTACCTCTATTGCACTAGCCCCTGCTTTGGGACAAGTCTGTCACAATGCAGCCTTCTGGCTCCACCGCTGGGCTTTTAATTCTGTGCCAGATCGAGCAAGAATTTGGGTATCTGCGGTCTGCTAGTTGCCACTGTTTGGGTGCTTTGCTTGAGAACCCTTGAAGTGCTGTGTAGCAGTCTAGTGTGCAAAGTGAGCAGTGGACAAGGGCTGTGCACTTTGGCGAAGCAATGAATTGTACACTGTGTATATTGTGTGAATTGTATGTGTGTGTTTATGTCTTCATTATTCTGTCTTCACCCTAATTTCTGTCATCAGTGCTGATGAGAAACACTTTCCCAAAGGACAGAAAGCATCAGTGACTTCCATACAGCCTGTGGGTGGCTGCATCCCAGGGCTCTGAACTATTCTCACCAGAGCTCTCCCACTGAAAGACCTCTGCATGCTTTGGTTTAGTGTGGTGGTGGTGTGTACTGATGTCGTATGCTTCTGTCATGTGTCTTGATGTTCCTGTTTCTATCTTGATGTTTCATGGATTTTAGAGTGTTTTTGTACACGGTTTGAATGGCAGTGTTTGCTGTGTATAATTCTGCAATGTTTACATTTGTACCTTTGTTTAGGATCTTGTGAAGAGCTGAAACTTGTCCCTGACGGATTAGAACATAGAAAACCAAAGCAAATGAAGTTCCCTGGCCAGGCCTATGTTGGTCTACCTCTTTGCAAAGACAGCCAGAGAGAGCACCCAGGAGAGGCTGAGAGTCGCGAGGAGGGACCCTCTAAAGGCTCCCCAATGAACAGTGTTGGTGCCCCCACGCTGAGGAAGAAAACAGAGTCTGCGTTGTGTGAGTGTGGGGAGATGCTAGCATCACTGGCGTTGGGACTGGATGTCAGGAAACTCCGTGGAGCCCAGGCCCCCCAGAAACCATCACCCAAGGAGGAAAAGAAGAGAGAGGACTCTCTTCAGTGGGTCTCCAGGTGCCAAGCAAGTACCAGCCCACATCTCAGACAGCCATCTACAGGCAGGGTACCTAGTGATGATCCTTCTCTCCTGCCGCCAAGTGCCACGAGCCTTTTCTCAAAGTCTTCTCTCTCCACGAAGTGCTTGCTGCCTGCTTCTGAGGAGGATCCTTCTTTGGGGAACACGCAGATCTCTTGTGGTCCCATGATGCTCACCCCAGCCTCCTGTTCTGCCACCCCAGAAAGCAGCTGTGAACTCATCCCTGGACCAAGACTTAAGAATGACTATGGTGTGCTGAGAAGCATGTCACCTGCCCTCCTGGAGCAGACAGGGGAAAACCCACCAGCCTGTGCCCCTGTAGGAGGCAAGGAATGCCATCATGCATGGATGGAATCCAAAGAAACTCCTTTCCAGCCTCAAAGTAGGTGGTAGCAGTAGGGTTCAGATGGCATTGCAGGGCATAGAGGAGCATGGATTGGGCAGAGTTTCCTTTTTCTAGGATTTCAATGAATAATATTGTTCACATGGATCGTGAGTGTTATCCTTCATTGTCATAATTTCAATATCACTAAGATTTAGATTCTGAGAAGAGGCTTGATTGGGATAGCGATTTCAGATTATAAGATCATGTAAGTGCAAATCATGTGATAAATGATGCATCAAACTCTGGGGACAAAGATGGATCCTAAGTCCAAACCCCAGCGTGTAGACCATGGTCCCAAACCACAGCCGTCTAGCCCTAGCCCTACTACTCACTCTAGCATTAAACACTTAACTCTAACCTAAATATTTAACCCTAACCCTAAACACGTGACCATAGCTACCAACAATCATCCTAAACACCAATCTTTAACTTTAAACACTAACCATAATTCTAATCCTAGCCACTAAACCCTGTCTCTAATCCCGAGCTCCAAACCCTAATCCTAACCCTTGAACCCTAATGCTAACCAAAAGCTATCTTCAGCCTCTCTGAGATACTCCTTGGTCACATGCTGTGGTGGTGTTGGGACTAAAGTCCTTGTCCTCTCTGTGTAATTGGAGTTGGTATATAGCAAGGCTGCAGCAGGAGTGGCTTAACCACTAGACCCTATTTCCCCATTGTGCTGAAGGTGGAAGTTCAAGACAAAGGCATGGGCAGGGCTGGGTCTTCCTTAGGCCTCTCCCCTGGGCTTGCTCACACCCTCTCCCAGTGTCCTGATGTGGTGGTGCTTCTGGGTGTGTTTGTCTGAATCCTATAAGGCCCACAGTCAGATTTGGGCCTGCCCAAGTGAATTTATTTTGACTTAACCACCTGTGAGGACCCCCAATCTCTAGGGTTGGGGAGATGGCTCAGTGAATAAAATGCTTGTTATACATGCATTACAGCCCTGAATTCAATCCCAGAATCCACATTAAAAGGCTAGGTGTGATGGAGCAGACCTGTTAATCCCAACATTGATGGGGAAAACAGGCAGATGCCTGGGACTTGCTGATCAACCAGTGTAGCCAAGTCAGTGAATCCCAGGTTAGTGAGAGATCCTGTCTCTGAAAAAATAGGTGGATATGTCTGGGGCTGACCTCGTGTGTGTGTGTGTGTGTGTGTGTGTGTGTGTGTGTGTGTGTGTGTGTGTGTGTGTGGTGTGGTATGGGACATATGCACAGGTCATGGTGATGTCACAGATAACTGTGTAGAGGTTTGTGCTCAGGTTTGCTGTCTGTGGCCTTGGGCACATCATGTTTGTCTACTAATACTTTACATCACCTCTCCTGTGGTTAGGAGTGTGGTAGAAATAAAGTGAACAGGTACTGCTGTGATTAGTTACATTAATGCCATACAAGTATTCTCTGAAGCTATTACTGTGGAAAGCTATTTGAACCGGGCATGGTGACTCATGTGTGACATCCTAGCTACAGGAAGGCTGGGTGAAATGGCTGGAGGAATTTCATAGGGTAAAATACTCTTTCTGTTCTAATGGCATATTTTCACTAAGGAAAGCATACCCCAGTGGCTGTGAGAGGTTTGTAATTATAGTGTTGGAACTCTAGGCAACCCCATCATCTAGTTGAATAATCATCATCTTTCCCTGCATTCATTTCTTCAGAGTCTGTCTTCTCATTGCACACTGTCTGTCTGTCTTTCTTCACCCTCAGGTGCCCCTGAAGACTCTGGGCTACCACACTCTGCCTCACCTGGTCCTCACAATGAGCTGGCAAGCCAGGACTTTCCTGTGCAACCCCAAAGTGTTCTGACCAATCGTCCGGCATGCCCTGTCCCACCACAAAGCCCACACACTGCTTCCCTGAGGACAACACCCCCCCATACCTGGACCTGTGACATGGAACATGCAGTGCCAGCCCTCGCCTGTCTCCTCGGTGCCCAGGAGAGAAGCAGGTTCCAGGCACCTTCTTTGTTGGATGCCAGTGTGGAAGGTCAGAGCAAGGACTGCACCACGCCCTTGTGTAGAGTGAAGAGCGTGGCGTGCCAGCCATCCATCTATGCCCTGGAGAAAGACTTTCTGACCTGAGGGCCTTGGCTCTCCCAGCATTCACATTTGAGGCGGACACACGGAGGCACCGTGTGCCTTTGTGCTGTGTTTCCAGCTGTGACCCAGGACACTAGTGGTGGATGCCGACTCTGAGGTGTGCCAGTGGCTGCTGTTGGCTGTCCGTGTCATGCCCACTGGATGTTAGTTACCCAGCGACTTGAAATATACAGAAGTTCAGCCAGCTGAGGCAGGATCAGTTCTCATGTATGTTCTGCCCGTGAGCATAAGGCAAAACTGCAATGACCAACTCTCTCTGCTTCCTTCCTTCATCCTTTTGCTGGTCCTTTTGGCTTGTTGTTTGTTTTTGTACAGCAAAAAGCTAAGAAATAGCTGTTCATGTCTTGGCAATAATAATGTGATGTTAGGAAGTGAAGATATTTATTTATAGAGTGGAAAAAGGGTCCTATTGATTGGAGTTAATTCAGAGTCCTGTTGAAAATACCCAGAGAAAGCAGTCACCTTGTATGTGGGAGTACGTCCAGTTGACTCCTGTTTTACTGAATGTAACTTACGAAAGTTTTATTGAGGCCTGGAGAGATGGCTCAACAGTTAAGCACGCATATAGATCCTTTGGAGGACCCATGTTCCGTCCCTGGCACCCATGTCTCATGGCTCACAACTGCCTGTGACTTCAGTTCCAGGACACCCAGTGCCCTCTCCCGACTTCCACTGACTGCACTCACCTGCACATGCCACCACACAGACAAGATACACGCATGCACATTATTAAAAGTCAAAACATTTTTTAAAATTTTATCGACTATATTGCTATTTTTGTGTCTCGAGACCAGAATACCCAAGAATGACCTAAAAGGAGGAATCGTTTGTTTTGCTCATGGCTTCAGAGGATTCAGTCCAACCTTGAGGAGGACCTGGTCGGGTGGCTCACATCATGGTGGACAGGAAGCAGAGAAAGGGGACTATGGGAAGAGACTAGGGCAAGATACAGCCAAGGGCACACCCTCATTGAATTTTGTTCCTCTCAAAATAGCACCTCTACTTGGGGACCAAGTGTGAGCGCATGGTGGATGTTTCAGAGTCAGACCTTAGCAGTAATAACCAAGTGTCATCTGAGATCAGGCACTCATATTTGGCCACCATCACATTTTGTGCCCGCACAAGGCTGCTCTGTAGGTTTCCCTGCAGAAATGCCTCTTTCTTCACTAGTAGAGGTGGGAAATTTCTTCAAGCTCTAATAGAGTCTTTAAAAATTAAAATACCCATGGGTAATTTAATGACTAGCTGTGTTTGAAGAGCCTGTGTGCTGAGGACATACATGTTGTGTGATCTTAGTTTTCTTTGAGTCTGCAGTTTTCCCAGCACTAACAACGCTGCCAGTACAGGAGACGGCAGGACTGGGGTGGGGTGGGGGTCCGCTCTGAGCCGTTTCCTATTTCATTTAACTTTGAGTAAACTCAGGCCTCTGTGGAGGGTGAGCAGGCATGGCAGAAGACTCGGACAACTTCTGGAAGCACATATAAAATGTGTCTCTGGATAGCAGGTGGGGTTGGAATAACTACGGATTACTTTCATAATTCATAGATAGAGTGCTGCATTGTTGAGATGGGATGTCTGGCTCTTCAGGAGCTTGGTGAGTTCACCTGGGTCTTGTGACTACTGTGGTCCCCTTCTGTCACCAGAACCTACTTATTTTTGAGACAGGTGGTGGGTATTTAAAGTGTGATATCCGGTAGGAAACTAAATTATCAGTAACCCTTGGTGTTTTACTTAAAGTTGTATGTTGGCTTATCAAATAATGGCAGAAACTTTTTTTGAATGAGGTATTTAATTTTTTTCCTTTTTTAAATTTATTTTTAAATTTAAATTTAAATTAGAAACAAGGTTGCTTCACAAGTCATTTCCAGGTCCCTCTCCGTTTCTCTCCCCTCCTCCCATGCCCTCCCCCCAGCCCCCCCAATATCTCCTCATTTCCCCAGGGAGGGTGAGGCCCTCCTTGGGGGTGTCCATAGTCTGTCATTTCATCCAGGGCAGGGCCTAGACCCTCCCCCAAGAGTTCAGGGTGAGAGTGCATCTCACATTGTTGGATGGGAGTCCAAAGTCAATGTGTATACTCGGGATAAATACTGATCTACTGCCCAAGGCTCAATAGATTACCTAGGCCTCCTTACTGACACCCCCATTCAGGGGGTCTTGATCAGTCCTATGCTGGATTCCCAGGCATCAGCCTGGGATTCAAGAGTTAACCCTTGTCAGGTCAGCTGTTTCTGTGGGTTAAACCAGCCCAGTCTTAATCCCTTTGGTCATCAGTACTCCCTCTCTGTTACTGGCTTTCTTGGGTTCAGCTCAGTGCTTAGCCATGAGAGTCTGCCTCTTCTTCGATCAGCCACTAAATGAAGTTTCTGTTTCCCAGACTCTCTGGCCATGGGATTGTAGGCTGGCACTCCCCAGATCTATGTCTAAAATCCATATATGAGAGAGTACATGCCATGTTTCTCTTTTTGTGACTGGGTTACCTCACTCAGGATGGTTTCTTCTAGTGTCATCCATTTGCCTACAAATCTCAGGATTCCATTGTATTTTTCTGCAGAATAGTATTCCATTGTGTAAATGTACCACATTTTCTCTATCCACTCTTCGGTTGAGGGGCATCTGGGTTGCTTCCAAGTTCTGGCTATTACAAATAATGCTGCTATGAACATAGTAGAACAGACATCCTTGTTGTATGAATGGGCATCTTTTGGATATATGCCTAAGAGTGCAGTTGCTGGGTCTTGTGGTAGGTTTATTCCCATTTTTCTGAGGAATCTCCATACTGATTTCCAAAGTGGCTGAACAAATTGGCACTCCCACCAGCAATGGAGGAGTGTTCCCCTTTTACCACATCCTCTCCAGCATAAATTGTCATTGGTGTTTTTTATTTTAGCCATTCTGACAGGAGTGAGATGGTATCTCAGAGTTGTTTTGATTTGCATTTCCTGGATGGTTAAGGATGTTGAGCACTTTCTCAAGTGCCTCTCAGCCATTTTAGATTCCTCTATTGAAAATTCTCTATCTAGTTCTGCAGCCCACTTTTTAATTGGTTCCTTTGGTGTTTTGGAGACTTGCTTCTTGAGTTCTTTGTAAATTTTGGAGATCAACCCTCTGTCAGATGTGGGGTTAGTGAATATTTTTTCCCATTCTGTGGGCTGCCTTTTTGTCTTGCTGACTGTGTCCTTTGCCTTACAGAAGCTTCTCAGTTTCAGGAGGTCTCATTTATTACTTGTTGATCTCACTGTCTGTGCTACTGGTGTTATGTTCAGGAAGCAGTCTCCTGTACCAATTCGTTCAAAGGTACCATCCACTTTCTCTTCTAAGAGGTTCAGTGTGGTTGGATTTATGTTGACGTCTTTGATCCATTTGGACTTAAGTTTTGTGCATTGCGATAGACATGGATCGATCCGCATTCTTCTACATGTAATGGCAGAAATTTAAAAGGAGTTAAATCTGGTGTGTGGCATCTTGACCTGCAGGGAGGAGGATCTCATTGCCATCTCTAGGCAGAAGGTTTCAGTAGCTTGAAGCAAAATCTCAGGCTTTCACCAGACCCACTGTGTAGTTTTCTGATGTCTGTTGTTATTAAATGCTGTAATAGGGATGTGCTTTGCTTATCATTTGTCACATTGGACAGGCCAGTTGGCTGCTTCTTTCAATCAGTCATTTAAAGGGAAGCTAAAAGTAAAAGAAGTGCCCCAACACCCAGTGTGTAGGGCAAATACAGAAGTATTATACTTACCTTTGCTCCTGCCGCAGCATCCATGGAGAGTGTGTATGTGATGGAGTTGGTAGAACAGGTCATGCTAGATGCATCTGTCTATCCACTGTGTCCTCTCTCCCTCCGTGTCCCAGCCTCCTTTCTCTTCATTTGGCTCAACTCTGGCGAACCTAGAAATGAAACTGTACTAAAACGATAATTTCAATATAAGGACTCAGTCTGACTCGATGTTGCTGAGGGTTGTCTTTGATGAGATCCCGACACACCTGTGATTTTCTGTGCTTGCTACGCACCTAGCAGAACCTGGCTGTTCATTGTCTGTGGACCTCAGGGCACTGAAAGATCGTTTAATCAGGTTCCTGTTAATCCATATTGAGCTCTACTCTCTCACTGTAAAGACTAACAGCTGGGGCCTGATACACTGTATTCAGAAGCCTGTGGCTGACAAAAATGTTTACACATGTTGCCTATTTGTTAATAAACCTTTTATAGCTTGTCTGTTTGCTTCATGGCTTCGATCTACTCCTATGTGATTATAGTGGTTTGCTTTGTATTCAGTGAGGAAAGCATGAAGGCGATGAGTGCTTGCTGTGTACACGTGGAGTCCCACACCCAAGACCCTTGCAAAACAGCAGGTCAGGTGGTGTGGACACGCGGCCACACTAGGAGGTAGAGAGAGGCCAACCCCTGTGGCTCACTGGCCAGTTAGTTTAGCAAGCTCCAGGTCAATGAGAAACCTTGGATTAAAAAGCAAGGGGGTGGCTCCTGAGGATTAACACTTCAGATCACCTCTGGTTTACACACACACACACACAGACACACACACACATCTATGCCCACATATACTTTTGTGCACACGTGAGTGACACTCATTCTCAAATTTAAAAAGAAAGCAACAACTACACACAGGTTGCTTCCTCATGTATGGCCATCTTGATTCTAATACTCCATAGCCAACAACTTGAACTTCTAATCACTCTTAGCTGGTTAATACTTTATTAATACGACACAAACTGGTGTCATCTGGGAAGAGGAGCTTCAATTTAGAGGAAGAAGATGCCTCCATCCTAGTTCTCGTAGGCAAGTTGTGGGGCATTTTCTTGATTAACGATTGATGTGGGGGGACCCAGCCCATTGTAGTCAGGTGGTCCCGGGTGTTAAGGGAAAGCAGGCTAAGCAAGCCCCAGAGACCAGTGAGCAGCATCCTCCATGGCCTCTGCTTCAGTTCCTGCCTCCAGGTTCCTGCTTGAGCCCTTGCCCCGACTTCCCTCCATGACAGGCTGTGACCCAAACAAACCCCTCCCTCTTCGGAGTTGCTTTTGGTCATGGTGTTTTATTACAGTGACACAGAGTAACTGATCCACTTCTGAACGGGAACAGACTCACTTTCATTTTCACCCAGCCCCAAAATGCTTAGATACGTTTTAGACCCTCCCTTAAAGCCCTACATCCATCTTCTCAGTAAAAAT